TCAGTTTCCTGCATGGCCTATTTATGCTCTGGTTTTAGAATAGAATAGAATTCAACTTTATTGTCATTGCACATGCACAGGTACAGGGCAACGAAATGCAGTTTGCATCCATCCAGAAGTGCTTTAGTGATATAGATATATTACAATATATATTAGCAATAATATAGATATGTAAGCATATTACAGGAATGGGTCTATTATGGTATGTTATAATGTACACTGTATGAAGTATGTTGTGAATGTTCTATAACTATAAGTATGTACAGGCTGTATTGAGTACAAGCTATGTACAGGCTATGAACAGGATATAAATCTGAAATAAAAAAACTATACAGAAATCTGAGATATACAGTTATACAGAAATGTGAACTATGCAAGTTATAAACAGTTGTAGGATTAAAAATTATCGTATGTACAGAATTATTATTTACACAGAACTATACAGTAGTGCAGTTAAGATAAGTGAGATATGTGGATAATGTCTACAGAGGCTATATAAAGTGCAAGTGGTTGTGAGTGGTGGTTCAGTCCATGTTATTATTGTGTGTTTGAGGGTACGGTTGTCCATTGTGTGTGTGTGTGTGTAGGTGGTTGTGGGTGTGTGTATGTCCAGTTCATGAGTTTAGTGTGGGTCAGATGTCAGGAGGCAGAGTTCAGGAGTCTGACAGCTGTGGGGAAGAAGCTGTTCCGGTACCTGGTGGTCTTAGTCCAGCGGCTCCTGTAGCGCCTCCCAGAGGGCAGGAGGGTGAAGAGTCCATGTGATGGGTGACTGGGGTCTTTAATGATTTTCCCAGCCTTTTTCAGAAACCGCTTCCTGTAGATGTCTTTTATGGCAGGAAGTGGTGCTCCGGCGATGTGCTGGGCAGTTTTCACGACCCTCTGCAACGCCTTCCGGTCCGAGGCAGAGCATTTCCCGTACCAGACTGTTATACAGTTGGTCAGGATGCTCTCGATGGTGCAGCGATAGAAGTTCACCAGGATGTCTGAGGACAGGTGGTTCTTCCTCAGAGTCCTCAAGAAGAAGAGGCGCTGGTGAGCCTTCTTGACCAGCTTGGAGCAGTTGGTCGTCCAGATGAGATCCTTGGAGATGTGAACTCCCAGGAACTTGAAGCTGCTCACACGCTCCACAGCCGTCCCCTTAATGTGGATGGGTGGATGTGGGTCAGCATTCCTCCTGTAGTCCACGATGAGCTCCTTGGTCTTCTCTGTGTTAAGCAGCAGGTTGTTTCTGTCGCACCACTTAGCCAGACGATCCACCTCCTCCCTGTAGGCGGCCTCATCGTTGTCACTGATGAGGCCAATCACCGTGGTGTCATCTGCAAACTTAATGATGGTGTTGGAACCATCAGCAGGTCTGCAGTCGTGGGTGAAGAGGGAGTAGAGGAAAGGGCTCATCACACAGCCTTGCGGTACAGCCTTCATTGTGATGGTAGATGAGCAGCGGTTATCCAGCTGGACATGTTGGGGGCGGTTGGTCAGGAAGTCCAGTAACCATTTGCAGATGAGGGAACTGATGCCCAGGTCTGTCAGTTCCCTGATGAGTTGTGAGGGGTGTATTGTATTGAATGCTGAACTGAAACAGCATTCTAACGTATGTGTTGTTGTTGTTGTTGTTTATAATATGCAAATAGAGGTGATGCTCAGCAGATTTTGCTAACTTTTGATGGAGCGAGGATAGCTGTTTCCACAGATTTATTTAACCTGTGGGTGTTTATGATATAAACTGGCAAAAATTTATTTAATCAAACACTAAGACATCATCATCAGAATACACGGCTTTAATTTTGCTATGAATTTTTTTTTATTTATGACTTTATTGTTGAATAATATATTTATACAACCATATTTAGTCACTGCATCCTCATTGCTTCTCCCCATTTTATTGTTTGAAAAACAAAAACGGTACTTTATGTGAAATAGACAGATTATTTGGATGAAAAAACAATGAAACATTAATAAATCATAATCCACTATTAGCTGGTATTGAATGGCTGGCTTAAATGCTGTTTACAGCTCAGGAAGGAATCTCATTGTTCAACACAAAGCAGTGTTCTGAGCTTCCTCTCTCTTACTGGTGGAGCAGCTCCACAGATGAACTGCATCAATGAGCTAAATTCAAACCAGCTGCCTGGACACATGTACTGTGAACCCTGCATGTCAATAAAAATATTTCCAGACATGAGATAACTTGTTTTGTAATGGTACAAAAACTTTACATCTGGCGTTTTAGCAGGTGTGAGGCATTAAGAAAAAGACACCTACCAAATGTTAGTTGAATTTTCCCTGTGAAGACAGGAGGCATCAAAATCATTTTTTTAATATGCTGGGCATCAATACCCAGCTTTTGTCTTGTTTTCTTCCCTTACAACGGTCACCTTTAGTGGATGTAGTTCTTGGGAATGTTGACCTATTGAGGAGTAAGTATTGAACAGCTAAGATATTTGGCAATTTGAAATGCCTTTAAAATTCCAGCATTCTAGCATCTTGGATTCCTTCTTAATGCCTGATTTAAAAGATATCTATGACATACTTGGGAATTTAAGAATTGAAAGGAAATTTACAAGGTAGCAAAGTAACGTTACTCACTAATGCCACCTCCCTCCATTGGCTGTCTTCTGTCTGCTATCTACAAGTTTTTCCTATGCAACCAAGCTGATAAGCTCAGTGCAGAGGAAAAATAAACAGTAAAAAGCATCTGCAGAATTCACACAGACTTACAAAAACAAAGCAGGCAGTATCTTTGATCCATCTGTCTGTTAAAGTTTCCTTGAACTGAACTTAGCCCCTACCAAAGTTTAGAGAGATAATAAGTGCATGAAATGTGAACTATACAAAAGAGTGTAAAATCTGCTGAGGTCACAGTGATGCAGCACTTTGAGAGTGTACAGCTTCCTTATTCTTGCGTGTTTGGGTGGGGGGAGCTGAAAATCAGCATGGGAGGGTAAGTCCTTCCATGCATCCATACAGTTATCTGTAGGGTGAAAGGTGGGGCACACTCATTTGAACTTTTTAACTTTAGTTACTCTCTCATTTTATGTGTGTGATTTTTAAAAAGTATTATAGTTGGTGTATTCTGGTTCAGGGTCACTTTTAAGTGACCCACTTTCCATCTTGGAGTCACATTTAACAGCATGTCTTCTGACATGATGCGATTTTATTAGGGTTTGGATGCAGCGATTGAATGACGACATCCACTAAAACAGTTGCCTGAGAGTTTACAGGCATACCAGAAAGCATAGATCAGACATCACAGGGAATGAGAGCATCGGCGAAAAAGCTGCATCAAAACACGGTTCTTTAACAGTTAACACGACAGATCAAGTGGCCGGGTGTGACAGTGCTGCTTCCACTAAACCAACACACAGGAAGTTGATAACGGATATTGTTTCCTGTCACTGAGTCAAAACTGCAGCTGTTTCGGTTCAAACCACAAACATTAGTTCAAAACACGGACCAGCTGTAAGTCTGCGGACAACGAGTCCTAAGATTATGTCAGTTGCTATATGTGATTAAAAATTAATTTTCTTGTCTTGTCACAAACAAATTACCACACCGTTATCAGTGTATAATTAGATAATTTAATAATTTAGAATGTATTTACACATAAAGATGAGGGTCGGAGGAGGGGGGGAAAGGTTCGGAGGAAAAACCGTAACTGCAGCAGGTTGAATGTGTCAAATACACTCACATCCTTTGTTAGGTAAAGACACGCCCTGTTGTTTCCTGGTTGGCTACCCTGTCCTCCAGTGCCTCTTTTTTGTACTCTTATTGGTTAAGACGGAAAATCTGTCAAAACGGAAGTCCCGCCCTGTTCAAACATCATTGAAAAGTGTACGGGACCTCCCGAGTGAAAGTAAAGTCAAGCTAGAAAGGAAAGAAAGAAGAGATGAGGCAAGTCCGGAAGTAATGAAAGTGTTTTTTTCACAGTAAAAGCGCCAGATGAGCCCAAATTGTTGGAAAAGATGAAATAACTGCAGTGTCGTGACTAGTTAACACCAGGCTCCAAGTAAGATAGTTAAAGCAGGTCTTTCCATCACAGTGTATCTTTTATATGTCTTTGAGGATTATAAATTGATAGACATACTAATTTTGACCAATAATAAGCATACCCAAGTGTTTACAGGTGTTTACAATAAATACTGTTTTGGTTAATTAATGTGATTACTGTGCCCATGTTTACTATTTCATGCCAAAATAAATATATAGTCAACAGAACCAATTATTATTTGTCCAATACCTCATTTTCACTATCTTGGGTTCTGTGATGAAGCAGCCTCATCAATCTTTAAAAGTAAATATTTTTGTTGTTTTCCTTTTAAAGTCCTTTCTGAGACCACTTTTTTTGGTTTTACTTCTTTGTTGCTTTGGAGTGCCAGGAGTGCCAGAATGAAATTAATATATACATTGTTAAATAATTATCTGAACGTGTCATTAATTCATTAAGATGGAACTGTCACTTCAGCAGTTGAGCACAGTGACAGTTTGATTTGTTTGTCTAAAAACACAGATCCCCAGGCTAATTTTAAAATTTCAGATCACATCTTAATATTTTCACATGGAAAACTAGTGAATGGACGACGTTGCTTATTTCAGACCAGCACTGGCCACGCCCCAAAATTAGGTAATAATTTTAATAAACATGAGCGCAAGAGAGAGGAAGACACTCTACAATGAGCTGAAACATTCGCTTCTTATTAATTCCTGCATATACAATTTTTATCATTCATATTGTGTCATTTTGTATGTCCCTCGTGATTTCATCGCCCCCTTCACTCTGGCGTGTGCCACTGCAGTAATTTTAGTGGCCACCCCTATGAAAAAATCCTAGAGGCTCCCCTAGAGTTTAAAACAAAAAGTCAATTTGTAATTTATCACATAGATTTTGAAAATACATGCACAAGTATTTAAATACTTCATCATACTGACACAAATAAGACCCGACTCATTAGTGGGCAACGTACATTTTATTTTGAAATGCCCAAACGGAAACTATCGACTTGATTCCGGCGAAGTTATCACCTGTGCGGAGTAGAAGCAGGACCCCCAAAGGGAAATCAGTGAGGGCAGCAGGATTTGTTTTACATTTTTCCGGCACATTCTCCCTGTTGTCTGTGTTTGGATTCGACAGTTGTTGTTTTTTTTTTTTTACGAGAAGCACGTCTGGAATAAGAAAACGTTGAACACAAAAATGGAGATAGAGAGGGAGCTAAAGAAGGTAAGCTTTGCCCCCGTGTTCTTCGTAGATATCTCGCACAGTTCAGGGAACGCCCTTAAGGTGTGCAGAGCAAGGGACAGGTGGCAGAAAAGTTACAGTACTGCAAGTTATTTTACAGTTTAAGTTTCGGTTTTAATTTCGAGATATTAATGGTCTTTATTTATGTTTTTTTTTTCCAATTAAAAATCTACTTAGTTCGCTTAAATACGCTTATTTTACATCATTGGGTAGTTGATATTGCTGGAACAAACTCACGTCGATCGGTTTACAAACTTGGAAAACATAGGTCGCGCCCTTTTTAGTTACTTCCCTTTCAGAATAAGTTCCGATGTAAGAAACTGCGTTTGAAATGTGATAAAGTCTCACTCTGCGTATCAACCAAACCCCCAACCTCTGTAACTTAATAGCGGAACAGCTTGACCCATTAACGGACCCATTTTACGTACAAAGTCGTCCTCCTTGTTCAGGGTTTTGATACTGTATTAATCCGCGGTGCTCAGCGTCCTCGGCTCTCTATTAAGTGGAACAAATCACTATGACAGTAAAATGCAAACCAGCTGTGATAGTTAATTTGTCCATAAGTAAATGTTGCCGTTACAGCTGCCGAATTGAGTGTTGAACTGTCAGCAGGGTTTCAAGAATATTAAGGCTCATGTCACTCATAATGCACTTAAGACTGTAAGCCAGATGCATCAAAATCTAATGTTTTTTAAATAGAGTTTGGCCATCCAAGGGAGAAGACAAAAGTTAAGAGTCAGGACAGGCAGGAAACCTTTTTACAGTACACGCTTTGTCTAGTGAATAGTCATTCATTCATCATCATGGATCACTGTAGATACTCGTTGTTGGCATTCACTAGATTCCTCTTATGCACCCCTTCTCCTTAGTTTACTTATGGCCCATAGATAATCTGTATAAATAATTCTGTTCGAGGAATCCAGGTTTATGTAGTGAATACACATGAATATCAACCAGTCAGCATTTTCCATAGAAGCTATTATAACCTCTTAAGTAGTTTAGGAAAAGAAAAATGCATTTTAACATCTGTTAAAGCTTTTGTAGTTATCAGAATCAAACTATATGGATTATTATTATTATTATTGTTGTTGTTATTTATTATGGTTATTGACAAGTTTATACACAAACAAGGATTGTGTTTTGGTTGCATGGTGCAAAAACATTGGTACTGTACTGTTAATTTATGCTACTAAGTTAACTTGAGCTTTGGGGGATCTTTGCACAGACCTGCAGAGATTTGGTAGCAGTGAAGGTGGTTACACAGACTGGTGGTTTGTTTTGTATGAGTTATTAAGCTGCAATTTAATGTCTTCAGCCACTTGTAAAAATATGGTTTACATTTTTCCTGCATTAAATTTCAGAGCTTTCAGCTTCACTCTGAAAAATTGACTAAGAGTGAGAATTTTACAGGGACAAACTGTTTCAGTGAAGATGAGGGAATCCTCTCCTTAAATAGGTCTGAGCAGCTGGATAACCCAGACAGACAGTCTGACATCTGCCTGTAATCCCTGGGGGAGATCAGCCTGCCACCGCTGCAGGATTTCTGTCTGCAGGAGGCTGCAAGTTCACAGAGATGCTGCTGTGATCTGTGTTGCGCTTGTTCAGGAAACGTTATCATTGTGTTTAGGTGATATTATACTCAATTAAGGTGCTGCATTCTACTTAACAGAACGTCTGACGTAATAGGCTGTGACTATAGGGTCGCGGCGTACAGCACTGCCATTCTGCTGACTCTTAGAAGTCTGTGGAGGTCTGGCTAGGTTTATTTCTTACCTAAACACCTAAACCATCATTAAAGCTTTCATATGACTTTGTGGTAGAAATAGAACCACACCAAAGGATTTCTCTGTTTGTTTAAATCCTGCAGTGATTACAGTGTTATGAACTGAATTTCAGTTCAAGCCAGTGAATCATGAAACCAATTAAATCTTTGTCTAAAACAGCAGTAAGCGAACTGAAAAATAGTAATATTTTTTATGACCGTATTCCACCTTTACAGAGGAAAGTTTGCCTTAAAAATAGAAAAAGTTGTTCATAAATTTAAGGGTGGTTTGACTGAAACTTCCTTGACACCGTCTGTTATTTAAAGCATTAGAAACAAGATGTATGCATGTAAGTAATTGAACATTCTTTTTAAAAATATGTGTTTTACATATCTTACATCATCTTCATGATGTTACAGAAACTGTGTCCAGCGTCTGAAAGTAGCTGGTCAGCTCCAGCTAAAGCGACTACTTCCTTGCCACTGGCCTGCAGCTCTGCCCTTCTCCAGTAAAGTGACTCATGAACTATGACTCACTGGACCTGAATCATAGACTTTGTGTCTAAGCTGGCTTGTAGCAAAAGTGTTGTCATCAAAATTAATCACCCCACAGGCTTAGTCATGAAACAAAGTCATTGATTAACTTGAAGTGTGAATCCAGATGGTGCAGCTGCCTTCCAGGGAAGCATGCATACATGCTGAATGAGCTCTGCCAAAAACAGTCGTCCTCCCTATGCTTGAGATAAATATTTAGGCTTCAACCACTTATCCTGTCCGCCCTTAAAGCATACCAATAAACGTTTGCATTTGCAAAGTTGAAAATGATGTTTTAGTTGGTAGTGTAAAATGACATTTTAAGTAATTTGTTCTTTTGTCTCAAAGTTCAAGTACTTTCTGCAAGAGCCTGAACATCTTTGTAGTACCATCTGAAACCCCCTGAGAATCAAGGACTGGAAGTTAGCAATGGATGCCTGCACACCTTTTGTAATCTTGTTTACTTTTTCATAATTCAGGTTAAACTTTTTATTTAGACAACACTGCCTTCCACAAATATTTCTGCATCAGTATTAAAATGCAAGTAAAATCATACACAGTCCTACCCCAAAAGAATCATGCTTAATTACACAGAAACTCTCATCTTCCCTAGTTCCTTGTGACAGGCTACTCCAGGCTGCTCCTTAAGTTCTGTTTAAGCTGCTCATTGCAAAAGACACAGGAGGCGAGTACATCTTACAGTTTAACTAAGATTTACTGATGTGTTTGGTACTTTCTAGGACCATGCTGGAACAACTTATAATTTGGCTTCTTAACATCTCCCAGAGGACAAACGTCTCATTCTGGAAATTGTGGTGAATGTTAAAAGTCTGGCATCAAAGCTTCACTTTTAAACAGGAGCCACTGTCTGTCTGCATTTCTCACTCATGTACACATTAAGCCATTAGGATGGTTTGCGACCATATATAGGCAACTATTCAATAACACTAAGAGGCTGGTGGGATCCCATCAGGCACCCTGCTGTCAAGAGATGTTTTTGACCCAAAAAGACATTCTCTGCTGAGGAATGCAGACAGACAGTGACTGCTGTTTAAAAGTGAAACTTGCAACAATTTCCAGAGTGAGACTTAATTCCCCTGGGAGATTTTAAAAAGCCCAATTTAAGTTGTTCCAACATGATTTATGGTGGTACTACAAAGTAGCAAAACGTAAATCTCATTTAAGCTGCTCCTGCTCTGTCTTCAGTAGGAATCCCTCTGCAGTGGGATCTACAATCTTCCAAGACCTGAAGTGGGCGTCCAACATAGACAAAATGATCAAAAGGCCCAACAGAGGATGTCTTTCCTGTGTTAGTTCAGGAAGTTCAATCTGCCTCAGGCGCTGTTGATCAAAATGTACTCTGCAATACTTAAGTCTGTTCTTTGCACATCAATCATCAAACGGACAGTTGGGACTGCAGAAAAAAAAAAAAAAGATTGGCGCAGATTTTCTCTCCATTCAGGATTTCAAGACAAATTCAGAATCAGACAAACATCATACCCTGGACACAACAGGTTCCAACTCCTCCCCTCTGATAGGCATTACAGAGCACTGTACACCAAAACAACCCATTTGTTGTAAATATCTATGTACTTTCTTTATTCATATAATATGCTGTCACATTCCCATATAAGATATAAGTAGACACTTATTTGTTTCTTATTCTTTCACAAGTTGTTCCAACATCGTTGCTCTCTGATCTCTTTGCAACAATGCAAATATAAATATGTTAAACATGTTATTGTCTCTGTCATGTTGCTATTGTCTGTTTGTCTGTCCTGTTATTTAAATAATAAATGTATGTGTACATATACTTGGCCAGTGAAGCTTATTCTGATTCTTCTCCCACAAGTATCATCATAAACTTTTTCCCTCATTTAAATACCGTGTTCTGCTCAATAGAAAACAAAACACTGACAGTATGTGTCATTTCCTTTGTGTGCTTTATTTACAGGTGACGCTTGGCCATGAGTTTGGTGCTGGAGCTGCCTGTTTGAAATGCAAGGACAAGTGTGAGGGCTTTGAGCTGCATTTCTGGAGGTTTGAACAGTTCCTCTGCACATCATCACAGTTTCACAAGTTTCCTTTTCTTTGCTTCCTGTGTCCAAATTGCTGATTAAAGAGTGAGTCGCTGTTGTCTTGAGCAAAGCTGTGAACTCTTCAGTACGACTTTAGTTTAACAAAAATAAACAAACAAAAAATAGTGTTTAGTAAGGTTCAGTCAACAAACACCATATTTTAGTGCTTTTTGGGCTGAATGATAATAAACAAAATATACCTCCTTATTTCATGCAATGGGTAAGATGTCTTAGGCAGTAGGCTGCCATTTTCAGTAAACTTGGCAGGAGTATATCTCTTGTATGTCTCTTTCTGATAATTATTCTTTCTGATAATAATAATTCTGATAATTAGTGTTTGACTTCTGAAATGCTTTTCTTGCATTGAAGGATAATATATTTCCTTTGAAATGGAGTTGTTCACCCTTGAGAACTGCAGGCAGCGTATTATTTATAGTGGATGGTAGGTGACACGCCTGCTAACAGACAGGAGTAAGAGCCTGCGCTGAAGATAAGCGCTGGTGTGGTCATGGTCAGCATTTTAGTCATCTACAAGAAATAATTACTGCTTTAGCTGTATCCCATGTTTGCAACATTTTCAGTGCTTTATGTGCTGTTGGAAAACAATGAAAGCAGCATTGCTCCTGTAAAAGCTGCCAAAGTTCTTTGATAAAACACTTTTACGTCATAACAACAAAGAACTTGCTGATTATTTTTGTTGTTGGTTTACTTTGGCATTTATTAAACTCTCTCAGATCCAAACTAACATGTTAAAACACATCGGCACACCAAAAACTCCAGAAACTATTCTTTGTAATGTAGAATCTACTGTTTTAGTCAAATGAGATGGGTGGCTTTGGAAATGAGCAGTTTCTTTCTTTGTTTGACTTATATAGTAGAAATGACATACTGTTTGTTAGCTGTTGAAATACTGGTAATTATAATATTTACTCAGAGCTTAACTTTGAAGCTTAGTTTATTGTTGAGCTTGCGGTGCAGGAGGGCAGTAAATAGAGATGGAGCTGCATGAGATGGTAATTGTAGTAAGAGGAGAAATGCAGACTCTTTACAAAAATTTTGATGCAATATTAAGCTATATTTATATAAAATATTTAGTTTCATTCCTGTATCTTATGTAGAAATATATCACTATATATTTTAAAACTCAACTCAGTAATGTTGAATACCATTATGAATCAGAGCAGTCATTTAAAAAAGCATGCTTATTCTGCATGACAACAACATTTCACTCATTGACCCAGTCTGTCAACTTCCCAGCTTGCTTAATTAAAAGGATTCCTATAGCAGCAGGAGCCATCGGCCTAATGGGAACATGCTGTTCTTGAGAATAGAATTTAGTCTAATGCGGCCGGGGCTGAATTTTCAGGCAAAGTTTTTATCATAATTCTATGAAGACGCTATAATTAAAGGTTGTCACCTGCCCTCTAAAGCCACAAGTTAGTTTTGATTGTAGAGCCTGTCATAATCATTTATTATAGTTATACAGTGTTTTTGTAAATATAAAGTTAATGGGTCTTAAACAATCAAGCTAGGTAAACATAATCTAAACAAAACAAAACTCTATTGTAAGTCATTTCACTTTATGTGTGTCAGAGGATTGCTGTATAATAATACAGCAATCCTCTGACACTTTTTTTTTTTTGTTGCAACACTGATGAAAACACCTTTCATTTTCTTTAAAATATGTTATTTATCCCAAAGTTGAGAAGCTCTTTCTTCATCAGTTTTAAAATGAAGTTAAAAAAACATAAAGAAAAGAGAAGATATTTTTCTATTTCAGTGTTACAGAGTTTTCATCTGGTTACCTATGAGTATTGCTATAACGTATTGCCTATTCCACTAAAATTCTGAAGGCCTGTTTGGGCTGGAGCATGCCTTCTAGTTACAAATTATGTCATAGTTATATCAAAAGATGTGTTGAGGCATGATAAAAATGCCAGTAGTTCAGTTTTAACACAGAACTTATTGTGTTGGTATAATGGTGTAGGAGTTTTTATTTAATATTCTAAAAATAGAGGGAGGTGAATGAAGTGAGGATTTATTCAAATTTATCAAATATACCAGCTATAAAGAAGAATATGTAGTAAAAAAAACTGAGACATTTGCTTGTTTAGTTTGAATAAAGCAATGGTAATTTATTAGTATCAAGGTTTAAAAAGTCAAAGTCCTGAACATTTTGTTAAATTCTTCTTTGCAGAAAGATATGCCGAAACTGCAAATGTGGCCTCACAGAGCATGATGTGGCGATGAACTCGGAGGAGAACAAGAAGGTAGGCAAGCTGTTTGAGGACACGAAGTACACCGGCCTCATCGCCAAACTGAAGACGGATGGGATCCCCAGCTACCAGGGCAACATGGTGACCATCACTTTGCCTAGCCCTGCCACTGCTTACACGGTACCACCCAGTGCGACCTCTACTGTTGTGCCCCCTTCTGCCAGAGCCGGCTCTGTGTCGTCGTCTGCCACAGCTGGTTCTGTGTCCCCGTCTGCCACAGCTGGTTCTGTGTCCCCGTCTGCCACAGCTGGTTCTGTACCCTCAGCTGGAGCCTCTGCAGGTTCGACAGGCATTGGGGTTCAGGGTCATGCTCGGGTTCAGCCTGTACCAGCCAGTGCCACACCAGTCAGGGCTAGCAAAGTGCCAGTCACTGTCAGTGCCACATCAGCCAACGTAGTGCCAGTTCCTAAAGATGTACCAATGAAGACTGTCACCTATGAGTGGGCACCACCAGTGGCTAACAAGTACCTGGTAAGAGTTCATATTAGTTAGAAAATAACTTTTCAAGTCTAAAGTGAGTTGGGTTTTTTTGTTTTTTCATTCCCCACCCTCCTAAAACCCCCAAAAAGCATTTAAGCATTATCATATGGTAAAGGATTCATTGGTATAAAAAAATTAACATATTAATAGATAATATTCCTGCCTTGATCAGGAAGTATTGGTGGTATTGCATCATTTAAGATTTGGTAATAGGCAAAAACACATGAACCATAGATCGATGTAGGTCTAGTCAACTAAAAAAGTCAACCTCTTCCTTTATGACACTTTCCTGTAACCTTGTGCTTGTCTCCAAAGTGAAATTTAAGGCAAGATGTTACCATTTTAACACACTGGAGTGTAGATGTTTAGAATTAGACTTCCTGGCATTGTTCAGGTGCACAGAGAAAGACGACCTTGAAGGGGAGATTAGCCGGATCATTTTTGTTTGTTTATGCCTCCTAAAGTTCAAGGTATTAGAAAACCCTTGGCTAGCTACTGCAGAACAGAAGGTCTGCACATTTGATGTCACTGAATCAACAGTTTTTTGTTTGTTTGTTTTTGTTTAGGTCTTTTTTTTGTTTAAAAGGTCTGTTTCTTCTCAGTAGCAATTTCTTTCAGAAATATGTTACAAAATGCTGTTTTATTCAGTTGTCTTAAATGTGTGGCGGGGACTTTTGAAGCACTGGTGATTACAGTAAAGAGGATGTCATTTTTAATGCCAGCATCTCTCACCACCACATTAATCTTATGTTTGACATTAACTCAACTTTCTCGTCTTTTGTTTAGTCTGTTTTTGTATCTGTCCCATGTATTCCTTGTCTTCTCACTAAAAAACAAAACTTCACTTTCTTTCTGGTTAGTCTATATCTAATCTGTCTCTCTGATCTTCTTCTGGTTGTCCTTCGCATTTTTCTTCATTCCCTCTGAGGTGACTCTTTTATTGTCTGTCTCTCTGTAGGCTGTGCGTTATATTGAGTTGCTCCCACCAGAGAAACGCCCAGTGGTTGGTACAGAGGGAGCTGCTTACCGTCGGCAGCAGATGGCCCGACAGCTACCTGAACACGACCAGGACCCGTCCAGGTGTCATGAGCTGAGCCCTGCTGAGGTCAAGCTGATGCAGCAATACGTTCGCAAGTACAAGGATGAAGCCCTGGGGGTTGGAGATGTCATGCTGCCTGAAGAGATGGCTCTGGTTCAGGCAGGAGGGCTGGGTGGATCTAGTGTTGGGGTTGGAGGGGCTCCTAGTGCAGGAGGGGCTCCTAGTGCAGGAGGGGCTGAGTTTGGACCTAGAGGTGGTGCTGCTGCTGGGAGTATTGGTGGGGGTGGAGGTGCTGGCTATAAACCAGAGGCTGGGGTTGCTGGAGTTGGATTTGGTTCAGGGCCTGGAGCTGCAGGACCTGGTGTTGGGGCTGGAGCTGGTGGTGGTTTTGGATCTGCAGCTGGTGGAGTTGGAGCTGGTGGTGGTTTTGGACCTGCAGCTGGTGGAGCTGGAGCTGGTGGTGGACCACTTTCAGGGCCTGGCGTTGGACCATCTGCAGGCTTTGGACCAGCTGGAGGAGCCATGGGTACTACTGCCACCGCTGGAGCCATGAGTGTCCCTGGAGCTCAGCAAGCTGGACTACCACAACAGAACTTTGTAAGTTTTTTCCCCCCTCAGTTCACTGACCATCTGCACTAAAGTTAAATTAAATAAAAATGTATATGGTAAACACATGACATGCATGTCACACTATAACAGATGGGAGGAAAACATACAAAGCAAAAAAAAAAAAATCCTCACTCACAGTTTTGCATAACACAAGATGAAAGTCTTTACCAATAGAACAAATTCCAAGAACACAATAATATGTTTGACATCTAGTTAATAGATGGAGACAATAATTTTAAGAGGAACTTTATTTAAATATATAATATATTTAGGTTCAAATAAAACCTATACACCATTTTGTATTGAGATTATATATATATATATATATATATATATATATATATATATATATATATATATATATATATATATATATATATAATATCATGAATAAAATAAAACATGGTCAGAATACCTGTTCCCTTCCTATCTTCTAGCATACCCTCAAACGGGGGAATTACACATGTTGTAGTTTCATTTAGTGGTTTTCTAGTTTATTTCCTGTGTGTAAGTCAAACTTAGTTTCATAATATATTTTTCCTTTGGTCAACCACACTCCTCTTACAGTTGCCCTAGGGCTCATCGGGAAGCCCGATCAACACTTATATAAACCCTTGAAATTACATAGCGTCTACTTGTGACCTTCACATCTCATAAGAGTTGGACCCACTCCACCCTGCAATACAAATCACCTATATACACACCTTTATATTATAATGTTTCTATAATTTCACATTTCCTTCCATTTCTGCTCATCCCATTCATCTGGAAACCCTTTAATGTCTTAAGCTTAGAAATCATGCACAAAATGTTTCTTTAAAGATGTGATGAATTGCTGGTAATATATGAAAAATAGATTTTTAATAGAATATGTAAATAGCCATAGTTCAAGTTAATACATTTGACTAAGTTCAAATCTTAACTTTTGTATGACTTGACTGAAAACTGATAAATAAACCATTTCCAAACTTAACACTAGGTGGAGCCATAGACCAACCATCCCATTTGAGGATGCTGGGTTCTTATTTAATGCAGTACTGTTTTTCTTATCATTACCATGTGCAGTTAATTCTTTTTGTGGATTTTTATTTCATCCTGCTTTCAATTTTACTACAATTCATGTAAAATAAAAACAAACCCAACAACATTCAAAGAGCAAAGTTACCATTGATGGAAACTTGTTATGAAATACTGTGCAGTCATAGTTTGTTCACATCAAATGGGTTGTAATGAAAGCTATTTAGGAGAGGATGTAACAAACTATTCTGATTTTTTTTTCTCCTATATAATAAAATATCAATAGAATATATTTTCATAATGAACTATACAGCTGTACCAATGTACTGTACTTTCCCTTAAAGTCATGCCATCAGTGCCAGCAGCCCATGCGTAAGGGTGAGCCAGCTGTCTATGCTGAGCGGGCCGGTTATGACAAGATGTGGCACCCAGCATGCTTCGTCTGCTGTACCTGTAACGAACTGCTGGTGGACATGATCTACTTCTGGAAGAAAGGCAAGATGTACTGTGGACGGCACTATGGAGACAGCGAGAAGCCACGATGTGGAGGCTGTGATGAGGTGAGATGAGGATATGATCATTTGCTTCTCTTTTGATTTTGGTTAAAAAAAATTGCATTACATACACATCTGTGTGACCATTCATAGCTGAGAGTTTGTTAGCACCGTTGATGCTACATTCTGATGCATGTCTGTTTACAGCTGATCTTCAGTAACGAGTACACTCAGGCTGAGGGCCAGAACTGGCATCTGAAGCATTTCTGCTGTTTTGAATGTGACTGCATTCTGGCTGGAGAGACGTATGTTATGGAGAATGACAAGCCTGTCTGCAAGCCCTGCTACATGACGAACTATGCTGTGGTAAGTCTTTGTTGCTCTGGGTTTCTTTCTTTAATTGGCTCATTGGTTTAAATACACCAATGATCCATAACATTATGACCTCTCAGAGATGCATGTGATGGTCTGGGATACAGTAGAACATAAGTGGGTAGTCTGTTTGCGTAATCAACATTTTGAATATGGCCACTAGTCAGCAAGTCTGATATGCAGAGGCTACAGCTCATTATATACAATACTATAAGAATAATTATGGTGCTGATGTCTTGGGGTACCTTTGAAGTTTTAGAGCAGTGAGCTGTTTTGTTGCACACAAATGAGCACACCAGGTAGAAGGTCATATTGTTTTGGCTGATTAGTGCAATTGAACTTGAAGGATTTGTTAGCAGGGAGCTGTAGCCATACCAAAATTCAGATTCTTGAGTGCATATTTTTGGCCTTAAACACCCTAATGAGCTCTAACAAGAACAACAACATCTTATATTGGACGCCACAGTGGAATGTTATGGTTTGATCTAAAAAGCAGATGTTTAAAATAGAAGATTGTCACATTTCACTCTGATCACTCTCTTTTGGAGGCCATTATAACACACCAACAATGATTATAGCATTTTACTTGTTACCAAAGCAAATTACTTAGGGATTCTTAGGGCTTCGTGCAAAATCGTCTCACCCAAGTCAAACTTTGTGAAAAATTGATAGGGGAATATATGCTGGCCACCCTAAGCCAAGAATGTGAAGCGCTCGGTGTGTGTTTACTGTGTTTTGTTTTGTTTTTCCCAACATAATCCACAGCAAAGCTTATGTTGTCATATAACCAAATACTTGCCTTTGCTTGTAAGAGTTGAGGAATCTCTTTTTTGTTTGAGATAGTAATTACACTGTGCTGCCAAGCATTTTTAAAAAGTTTTTAAACGAAACATATTTCAACGTGTCAGGTATTAATTAGGCACCATGAGGACACCTTATAGTTTAAACCACATACATGCATAGTTTGACTGCAGTGGAGGCTAAAGCTGTTAGGGAAAGAAACTACATAGAAATAATATAGAAACTTGAAGAGTTTGAATAATAATTTTAAAATGAATTGTGGAAAACCTAGATATCTGAAACTTAACTTAAAAAAACTTGACATCATTATTTCCTACCTCTTGCCAGAAATGCTCATCTTGCCAGAATGCAGTAGAGCCTGAGGCCCAGAGGGTTTCCTATGGTGATTATCACTGGCATGCCGAGCCACAGTGCTTCAAGTGCTCCGGCTGCTCCAAATGCCTGATTGGCCAGCGCTTCATGGCAGTGAAGAACTTCCTGTTCTGCTCTGTGGAGTGCAAGAAGAAAATCATGGCTTAAAGGGCCAAGACAAGTCCTTCATCTTCTTCATGATCACTTGCGAAACCAGGAATCGTACAGAGAGAACACTGGTACAGCTACAATAGTCTGTTATGGTTCTTTTAACAGAAATAGTGCCTGATCTCTGTAGTATGGAGATCTACTGTAACAGTGAAACCGTTTGAATTCAGGTACTTATTGTAAGTCCAGAAAGATCGCAGCACTGATATATCTTGTAGTCTCAGATAGTTTTAAAAAAAGGGGGTTTCCACTTTTTTCCAGCCTTAAATTTCTTGTTTGCTTTTCTTGCACTGTTATTATTTACAGATGAGATTTCTTTCTTGTTAAACCTGTGACCACTAACCTATTGCTGGGTTTTTGTTTGTTTTGTTGTTGTTTTTTGCCACCTTTTTACTACTTTATATAAAAACTACTGACATTCCCTTTCCATGCACCAACGTTACTGTCAGTGTTAGCCAGATTTGAGGCTGGTTGAAAGTAAATAATCAATGTAATATCAAACTTGCAGTCTGTAGCTAAATTTGAAGTTTTGATGAATTAAATTTGTGCTTTCAATGAGACATTAAAAGTAATTCTTCCATCTCTGTCTACAAATGGCATATACTGTCTTGTTTTATTGTCAGCCAGCAATGTTGTATCATAGTATTTTCATACTTATATCAAGGCAACAAGGTGTTGCAAATAGCTCCTTGTTAGTTTATTTGTGGTATTAAAAACAGGTTTTTCTAAAATTACTTCTCTCACATACAACAAAATGCTAAAATGGTTAAATTCCTGCCTTTCAAGTTTTAATAGGATCTCTACAAATATAGTTACAGCTTTAACCTTTGATTGTTCTGCTGTTTCTTCTATTTGGATGACCTTGGATTACAAAACTATTGGACTACAACAATTGAAGAGCACTTTGTTGTTACAGAGTTTAGACTTTAATGTGGCTCTTTTCAGATTATCCATCTGTTCTATGCTCTTGATCACAGTATCTCAGGAGCACCTCGAAGGAGGTTTTGTCACATTTAATACAATGCTTTCTTGGATACAAGGAATGTTGAGGCAACTTGAAGCTATCTCAATAGTTTATGAGAAATTAAAATCCCACAAATGTCTCAAAGGATACAGTAATAAAGTGTTTACACAAATGAACTGCAGCTTGACTGGTTGTCAGAGGCATTAAGCTTTTGGGAGATAAAAATATCTCCAGAAACTCTCGTTTGGAGTGTCTTCATACCTTACACTGAATCTCAGACGTGCTTTGTTTGTTCACCTCCTACTGTTATAGGAAAAAAAGCAGTTTAACCAAAGTATCCAGGCTGCAATACCCAGAGGTTTTTGCATTATACTTATCTTGTCATGGAAGGGACCTCAGCACCAGGGATTAAAGTGAGCTGAAACTATCTGGAATGACATTGTGACACCTTCAATTAACCAGCAATTAAATCAGATAGGCAGGGTACTGTCAAACTAGTTCATTTTAATGTGCTGGTGTTTCTTCCAGTGTTGGCATGGAGACGCTTGCTCAGTAATGAGAATATAATAACATCATTTGTTATCACTGTGATGCATTCGTAGTATAGAAAGTTGCAGTACTTCAGCCATCTAGCGGCACAGAAGAACAGCATGCATAAATGGAGTAAAGTATTTTTAAGTGGCAGATAACAAATATCAAAAAACACAAACTGTTTCTTGTCACACAACGTGTATGCTAGATTATGTACTGTTGCTGTTTTGCCTACATTGAGGAAAAAAATTAAATTTTAAAGATGAGATATAATGTTCAAAGGTAAGGGCTGCTCTCCAAGTAGAATTTTACACAATGGAATTTTAAAGCCTACATGCAATGGCCCATTTTTTTAGAGCTTTTATGTCAGATGTTGGATCTATGTGTTGCTGAATTATGTTTTTGTGAGAGGTCTTGCGAAACTATGTGATGTATAATAATTATACGTTATTTAAAGAATGCAGGAAAATGTACTAGGAAGTTTGGTACAGCTTAGTGAAGGCTAAACTGGTTAGGGTGACGCTCACCGTGATGTTGGACTGGTGCAGAGCAGGGTGTGTTGTTCAGTGTTACATTAACCAGTAGCAGACATAAATGTATCTTTAAGGTTATGTTTATTAGATTTACTCACCAAATGCTTCCTTTTATACTAGTTTTAAAGTCTGGGGATGGAAATCAGCTATATAGCTTGTTAAACATCTGCTTATATTGTTGAACTGGGAACCAGGGAGAAAAGGATAGTGTATGACTATATGACTGACCTGGACTGAAAATCGGTGGCAGCAGGTCTTCAGAGTGGTCGATCCAAGTTTTAAACTTTTGGTTCAAATCATTGATGACACGTATGGAGGAGGTCAGGAGATGGTGCTTACAGCTATTTGTAAATGTCTAGTACTGCATTTTAACGAGTGGTGTTGGGGATCTTGTCAAAATTGATGGGATTATGAACACAGAAAAGAACAGTCAGAGTTTGCACCACCATTCACTGGAAAGCCTCTGATTGACAATAGGTTCATTTTTCAGTGTGACAATGATCCCTAACACACTGCAAATGCAGTAAAGGCATATCTCAGTCATGGGTTGGTCTCCCCATGAGCATGGACCTCAACAGTATAAAGTAGACATGGGTGGCTCAAGACTTTTGCACACTCCTGTTTCTCAGCACTTGTCAAAGGTGCATGCAAATGTCCTGTGTAGTCAGTCAGATGAGACATTGATCAGTGTGTTCAGTTTTGTTTGTGAGTGGCTCTAAAGCTGTATCCCAACTGCATTACAATACATTTTCTGAAATTTATGTGTGAAAATAGCTTTGTACAGCCACATTCTCAAATTACAGGTTGATCTTTGAAATGTTAAATCATCACAGTGGCTCACTAAAGGCATCATTAATGCTGCTTACCATAAATTGCCAACTACAGTGATGCTTTTTCTGTGTGAAAAGGATCTTTTAGATTTATTGTCTTGGCCTCGTGTAACTTCCAGCATGGTTTCAAGTACCTGTGGTTGCAGATTTACTCCTGATGAAGATACTGTAAAGGTGTTGTCACTATTCCACATTACACATGTGCTGTACACTAAATGCTACAGTATGCAGAGCGTGATCAGTGTACACAAACATTTAGGAACAGTATTTATCTGCTGTAGGAGAACCAGTATGCAATCCAAATACAGCTCACTTTAACTCCTACAGGACCGATGTTGCTCTCTCTGATGAATCACCTGTTACTCTCTGGGAAGTCAGTGGTAGGTTGGCCATGATGGAAAAAACACCACTGAGGGGCTTGTATTTTCATTTACAATATGGAAAGTGTGCACAATTCAAGGAAGTGCCATTTCTGAGGAGGCCCATTGTCTTAAATGGCAGTCGGCCCAGAACTGTGCTGTTATTTCCCCCCTTTCAGCCACAACTCTACCAGTCTTCATGTGACTGAATTGCCTGGCCAGGGTCACACATTCATTACCTCTTTCCAACATCTTCCCGTGACCTTGTTCTGATTTTCTCATTTCAGAGATTCCTTCCATGGCCACTTCTTCTGTCATAGGAAGTCAGGTCATTGTTGGCATTTCACTGAAGTGTTGATCAAGTTTTGTTTTACGTGGTATCTTGAGTAAGGAAACAGTTAAAACTGTAAGAAGCAGAAAAAAAGGGGACAAGTCACCTTCCTGTAATACGTACAGGATGGAACTTGAATGTGATTTTTTTATTTATTTATTTATTTTTTTTAAATAAATAACTGAATTTACATGGTGCTGTCACCAGAATTTGTATTAGTCAGTCTGTGTATAGAACCAGCTGCAGTATACTTTAATAAAAACGTTTGTGTCTCTATAATAACACATTTGTGTGTTGGAGTATATGTTTAAAAGCTGTTGTCTAGTTGAAGAATAGTTTTGAGTCAGGTCTGATTTCCATAATTCAGACTGATTGCTTACAGATCATAAATCCTCAAATGCATGAATGTAGGGCAGCATCTATGTCTATCCAATATGCAAACAGTAAGTCATATTCATATGAGGAGACATACAAGATTGCATCAAGATGAGATTTTATGAGCTTCTTGGAATTGGAGTTTTCTGTTTGTGTAGTTTTTCACCATAGTAGAGCGGTGAGGAGAAACACATGGAAAGCACCAGAGACTGTTTGCAACGGAGTCTATGCAGTTTCACAAATCGGCATTCTGTAGAATATACTCTAGAGTAATGCTTGAGTCCAGTGGCAAATGCAAATAAGCGGGCTCAAGTTTAACATCTCTAATTACTGTAAGGAAGCACCTGCAGTATTTCCATGGAGCCACTTCCATAGCTTATCACAAGCCTTCAAATGGAGCTCTTGTAAATGTTTTCCTTAGCTCAGTTAGATAACCCATACTCACTCTGCTTTTGTTCTCCAGAAAAATTATTCGGAGATATATTCAGATGAAATCTTCCTGATTACATCCATATTTTTAATTTCACACCTCAGCTGCACTGGCAACAAACCTTGAAGTCAAATCCAAATTCCACTGCCTCATAAACTAAAATTAAGGGAGGAACTATATGAAATGTCAACGAGAAAAAAACAAAAAGAAAAAATAAGCGCCTTAAACACAACACAGGATCTAGACTAACTGTGTAGTTTCACAGATGCCCATCTGGATGAATACCACATCTCAGACAAGTGCTGCTTCTCGTGAGTTTTTTCTTTGAGAGCTAACTGGGACTGTCCCAAATGCGCTGAGGTGAGAGCACCTGAAGATCATCTGATCTCACATTCTTTAGTTCATGTCGTGACTGCAAAATAAAAACCAGTCATTAAACTGTTTGAGGTAGCAGTTTCTGTATGCAAAACATTTGTTATAACTACGATAAAGAATTTGAGAAGATGTGGAGAGAAGAGATATGCAGAGATACACTTTGATACTTTTTTTTTTCACTGAACTTGTGGAAAAAATATTGTAAGGATATTAAAAATGAGAATGTGAGACCTTCATACTTCCTATTTAAAAAAAGAACATCCAGTTGTGGATAATTCAGGTTGA